TCCAGTGCCTGAAGCAGCAAAGCAACCCCAAAATATCAGTGAACCTCCATCATGTGTGACTGTAGGGACTGTATTCTTTTCTTTAAAGGCCTCATTTCTTTTTCTGAAACAGTAGAATGATGGGCTTTACAAAAAGCTTTAAATTAGTTTTATCTGCCAACAGCACATTCTGCCAAAAGGATTTTGGCTTCCTCAGGTAAGTTTTGGCAAACTCCAATCTGGCTTATGTTTCTATGTCAGCAGTGGGGTCCTCCTGAGTCTCCTACCATAGTGTCCCGATATAGTGTGAGCTGATACAGTTGTACCCTGTGCCTGAAGGGCAGCTTGAATTTGTCTGGAAGTTGGCCAAGGTTTTTTATCCAACATTCTAACAATCCTTCATTGCAATCTTTGATCAAGTTTTTCTCTTTCGTCCACATCCAGGGAAATTAATTACAGTGCCATGGGCTGTAAACTTTTTGACAATGTTACGCACAGTGGACACAGGAACATTAAGATCTGTTAATTGATACAGGTGAGTTTAATACAAATTACAGGAGCGTTTCAAACTTGGAATGCAATTATTTCTTACAATTTTGAAAAGGTGTCAATAGTTTTGTCCTGTCCACTTTTAGGGTTTTGTGTGGAATGTGTCCAGATTTGGTTTTTTGTTTCTCTGCTTTTTTTTTGTGTCATACCAATACAAACAAAAAGAAACACGAGAATGCCTAAGCATTTGCAATTGCAACAATTTTCTTGGAGAAGTTGATGCGTTATCTCACAGAAATGCAGGGGTGCGAATTGTTTTAGCCATGTGCCACAACTGGTCTTTTGATGCACTTCAAAATTTTTGAGGTTAGTGCTATTGAGCAATAGTCATTCAAGCATAACACTGTTTTACTCTTTGGGACAGGAACAACTGTACTAGTCTGAAGGCACATAGGGACAGTCATCTGAGAAAGAGAGTTATTAAAGGTGTCTGTTAACACTTCTGAAAGCTGGTGTAAGGGATACCAAATGCAGGCATCCAGCAGCAGGCATGATAAGATCTGTTTTGCTGCACTTAGGAAACTGAAATCAGACCATGTATGATTAAAATAAATTTAACACTGAAGCAAGATGGAATAGTAGAGGAGGGACTAAATACCCTCCCAGCAGCCAACATCAAGTGAAGACTAATTGCTGGGAACTGCTGGCTGCTGGGAGGCATGCACTAGTGAACACTGAAACTACAATGTTCTGGTCTGGGACCACAGTGCCAACAGCAGGGGATCCAGTTCCTAACAGTTCCCCCCTTTCCCCTTCTGGAAGCTCCAACAAGCCTTAGTCATATGAGAGGTCCACATGCTGAAAAAGTCCAAAAAAAAGAAAATCTCCCATTGTCAAAATATGTGCCAGGTTCCATTTTTACAAATTCTGACAACCTAGACACCTCACCATTTGAGAGTGGCAAATGGCTGGGTACCCTCTCGATTCAATTCTTGGGAAGAAGCTGAGAGATACCTGCTGGTGGACACCAGAACTACAATATTTTGGACCGGGCACCACTGTACAGGTGATCCAGTTCCTGACAGAGGGTGTGTACGGACCCAGCCTATAATATTTTCTGGTCCTGCAGCCTTTCAGGGGCTACATTTCTGCAAAAATCTCCTCACATAAGCTATAGTCGCCTTGAGGCGCAGCTCACCTGGTGGAGGGGTGAGGCTGGAGTTGGGGAAAGTGTTGGAATACTCAAAGCAAGCATAGAAAGTGTTCAGAGCATTCTGAGCAGGAGAGAAGGATCCCTTGGATATTCTGCATTACGGTTGGTATAATCCCCCCCCCCTGCATGCTCTGTAGATCATTGGTGACTTTGAATCTTTGAAGTATAGTTAGTCTTGGCCCTCCCTATACTTGCAATGAGACCTTTCTTTGCTGTCCTGGGTTCAAACGTGTTTCTGGGCCTGAACTCAGAATCATAGGCTTTCAGTAGACAGCAAACATCTGCATTCATCCAGTGTTTCTGGTTGACAGCAATAGTAGTAGTTGTAGTAACATCTTTCACCTATTAGCTGATTTAGCCCATAATAAATGATGCATATTCCTCCTGGTCAACACCTTTGATATCTGTTACTGCCTCTAAAGATTTGCCAGTTAGTCCATTTGAAACAGTTATGTATTATTGAGGCAGCATCACTAGGCCACACTGTAAAAGTCTTTTTTGTTGGTTATTTGACTTTCAGCAAGGGGTGGTGGGCAGGTACCAGCATAGTGGAAATCTGATCAGAAAGGCAGAGGTGGGGAAGAGGGTTGGCTCCATATATCCTGTCTATTTGTATATACTTGATCAAACATGTTCACTCCTCAGGTGACAATTGTGATATGCTAATGCTTCTTTGGTACAAAATCTGTCAAATCAACTTGATTAAAATTTCCAGCAACCACATCAAGAGCATCTGGGTGCTTATTTTGAAGTGATGTTATCATAAAGTTCCTTTAGTACACCCTTAACCCTTGGACTTGGGGGGACATAGACAGAACCAATGAGCCATACTGCGAAATCTACTAACAACTAATGTGACCAGTATTTTACTGTTAAATATTCTGTTGCCTCAGTGCAGTGACTATTAGGGATGGGCTTGATGTTCGAGCCGAACGTAAGGATATTCGGTGGGCTGTTCACCCCGAGTGCCCCACAATGCCCTGTGCTCTCACAGTGCACTGTGAGAGCTATGATTGGCCAAAGCAATGCATGTGATCACTGGTCACGTGCAATGCTTTGGCCAATCATAGCACAATTGGGTGGAGCTAGTGGTGACATCACTACTAGCTCCACCCAGTTGTTTATAGCTGACCCGCAAATGTCAAATAATGGCAAGTACAGGCAGGTCGGAGTGCGCTTGGATTTTTCTTCTTTCGGCGAGTAGGCCTCTTCGTGGCAATGCTGGATGTCATGATTGATGAGGGATTACAATGATGGAACCATTTTTTTTGGCTTTTTTCTTTTTTATTAAAGGACTGTTGTTGTTTTTTTGGTTCAATTAAAGGAATTTTTCAAAAGTCTGGAATCTTTATTTTTTTCTAAATTCAATCCTTTAGTGTATGGGTATCCTTTACTCATTTACAAAATGGGGGCAGCATCAGGGTGCCTCTTATATAAAGGGGTACCCTTATGCTAATGAGCCCTCCTCTCACAGACCTCCACAACCACTTGGCCAGGCTCTTGTCCCCATCGGCATGGCACATAGCCTGGTAAGCCGCAGGGAGGGGGGCCATCGAACACCCCCCCCCCCTTTCTCTGCCCTCCCAGACCTGTGCTCGGATCAAGGGTCTGGTAGAAATTTAGGGGGGACCCCACGCTTTTTTCCCTACATTTTTGGGAGGTGGGGCTCCACTTAAAAGTCCTAACAGGCCTAAAAGGGAGGCTGCAGGACCAGGGATACGTCATTCTGGTCTAGGCCACTAGGCCAGAACGGCAGTGGGGGGTGGGGGCAAAATGTAAAGAAAAAGTTATTGCAATGCTGAGGCAAATAGAAAAGTTGAGGCAAATAGAAACGTATCACAAATAAATATATAACCTCCTCTACTTCACACCCCCCAAAAAGTCATACTTTCTCCCTAGAAAGTGCAATAATCATATAATATAACCTTTTTGTGATATAATAATAATACAATTAAACCCTAAAGTGTCATATGCAATCACAAAAATCCCAATAAAAATTGTCCAAAAAAAAATAAAAAAAAAAAAGAAGAAAAGTCCAGTGTTCAAAAGGTCCCAGATTTCCAAACTTTTTCATCCAATAGGAAGGATTGAATCCTATTCCATCCCGTAAGAACCTCAAAAATAAAAATAAATACTCTAGTGCATTACCTTTATATAAAAATAATCTTTTGCATGGAGTGATTATTTTTATATAAAGGTAATGCACTAGAGTATTTATTTTTATTTTTGAGGTTCTTACGGGATGGAATAGGATCAATCCTTCCTATTGGATGAAAAAGTTTGGAAATCTGGGACCTTTTGAACACTGGACTTTTCTTTTTCTTTTTTTTTGGACAATTTTTATTGGGATTTTTGTGATTGCATATGACACTTTAGGGTTTAATTGTATTATTATTATGTCACAAAAAGGTTATATTATATGAGAAACGTATCCCAGCTCAGCTTTTCTACAGAGATCCACAACTGTGGCCAATGTATAAAATGCTTTTTTTGCTCTCTTCTATCATACTACACAACAACCCCCCCCCCCCCCCATGTTCTTCCACACCACACTATGCAATGAGTGGTTGGAGCTAAAAGGCAGCATGCAATGCATACTGTGACAATCCTATGCTTTGAAAGGAGCTGCACAGTTGGAAAGACCTCACAAGATGTTTAGACTGAGCACAGAGAGTGACAACACAGAAGGTGGAAGACCAGCTGGAATAGGGTTGCCATTAACAATGAGGAAGTATAGGGAACTCGCAGGATTACCAGACATGTCTTATGTACTAATATATATCTTAAAGAAATGCTGAGCACACATAGTAAGAAACTATTTTTAGAGCAAATGACAAAAAAATGTTTTGGGTTTATTGACACTTTAACCATTTCAATACCGGGCAATTTTCCCCCTTCCTGCCCAGGCCATTTTTCACGTTTCAGCGCTCTCACACTTTGACAATTGCGCGGTCATACAACATTGTACCCAAACTAAAATTTTATCATTTTCTTCACACAACTAGAGCTTTCTTTTGGTGGTATTTAATCACCGCTGGGGTTTTTATTTTTTGCTAAATTAACAAAAAAAGACCACAAAGTTTGAAAAAAAAACACGTTTTTCTTTGTTTCTGTTATAAAAGTTTGCAAATAAATAATTGTTCTTCATAAATTTAGGCCCGAGATGTATTCTGCTACATGTCTTTGGTGAAAATAACCCAAATTAGGATGTATTATTTAGTTTGTAGGAAAGTTATAGAGTTCACAAACTATGGTATAGATCTGAATATTGATCAATCCTGAAGTACTGACGGCCAATCTAATTCCTTGAGGTCCAAGAATGTCAGAATAGTACAGATATCCCCCAAATGTCAGGACAGTACAGATATCCCCCAAATGTCAGAACAGTACAGATATCCCCCAAATGTCAGAATAGTACAGATATCCCCCAAATGTCAGAACAGTACAGATATCCCCCCAAATGTCAGGACAGATATCCCCCAAATGTCAGGACAGATATCCCCCAAATGTCAGAACAGTACAGATATCCCCCCAAATGTCAGACAGACAGATATCCCCCCAAATGTCAGGACAGATATCCCCCAAATGTCAGGACAGTACAGATATCCCCCAAATGTCAGGACAGGACAGATATCCCCCAAATGTCAGGACAGTACAGATATCCCCCAAATGTCAGAACAGTACAGATATCCCCCAAATGTCAGGACAGTACAGATATCCCCCCCAAATGTCAGGACAGTACAGATATCCCCCAAATGTCAGGACAGTACAGATATCCCCCCAAATGTCAGAACAGTACAGATATCCCCCAAATGTCAGGACAGTACAGATATCCCCCAAATGTCAGGACAGTACAGATATCCCCCCCAAATGTCAGGACAGTACAGATATCCCCCCAAATGTCAGGACAGTACAGATATCCCCCAAATGTCAGGACAGTACAGATATCCCCCAAATGTCAGAACAGTACAGATATCCCCCAAATGTCAGGACAGTACAGATATCCCCCAAATGTCAGAACAGTACAGATATCCCCCAAATGTCAGGACAGGACAGATATCCCCCAAATGACCCCTTTTTGCAGAGTAGACAGTCCGACGTACTTCATAAGAGGCATGGTGAGTTTTTTGAAGTTGTATTTTTTTGTCATAATTTTTCAGAAAATGAAAAAAATTTAAAAATTATTTTCACTATTTTTTTTACATACTGTCACCAGTGCAGTACAGCGTCATCATATAACTGGCATGGCGGTGATCAAGAACACTGACTGGTGACAGTATGAAAAAAAAAAAAATATTTTTTTTTTTTAATTTTTTATTATTTTTAATTTTTTATTATTTTTTTTTTTTTTTTTAAAGATTTTGTTTTCATATTTTACTATTACCAAAGTAGTACAATATTACCATAGTAACATTGTGCTACTTTGGGGAAGTGATCAGTATTTTTTTTTTTTTTTACACAATTTGCTTATAGCAAGGAATTACTTTGCTATAAGCAAGCATTTACCTGAATGACATCGATTCATTCTGTTTTGTTTTTTTTGTGCTTAGCTGTGATTTGGCCACAGCTAATCACATGACATGTGCATATGATCACTGTGACCATTCACAGCTAGGCAGTAGTATACAATGGATGGCATGAATGAAGCCATCCATTGTATACAACTGTCATGTGACCTGCTGTGATTGGTCACAGCAAGTCACATGGTACCAGCAACGGGTGCCGGTACTCAGATCTGTCATTGGCCGTGTCTGAGGTACACGGCCGGTGACAGATTGTGCCACTGCGCGGCTCTGCATTAGCGCAAACTGCGCATGTGCGGGAGCACGCCAAATGGCGTGCACCTGGAATGCTGAAGCACTTTTGAAGCCGCCAAACGGCCATTGGCCGGGTGGCTAATGGTTAATTATAGGAACCTATGAAATGAAATGTGAACCCAACAGAAAAATATATGGCATAATATGTATAACGAATCTATCATACAACATACCGTATTTGCCGGCGTATAAGACGACTTTTTGACCCTTGAAAATCTTCTCAAAAGTCGGGGGTCGTCTTATACGCCGGTACACATGTTAGGGGGGCTGCGGCATTAAGTACAGGGTTTGCAGGGGCTGACGTCTCTTACCTGGATCCAGTCCCACGACGATCCGGTCCAGGAAGCGCGGCGTCTCCTTCAGTTCGGCCACTGGATGTTCGTGCGGCTGCGCGGCTCCGCCTCCTCACCGGTGATTGGCCGCCAGAACTGTAGCTCAGGAAAGGCACACAGGCGGCCAATCACCGGCGAGGGGGCGGAGCCGAGCGGCCCCGCGAAAATTGAGTGCCGGAGCAGCAGGTAAGTGCTCTGTGTAGAGGTGCTGCTGCAACCACATATGCTGGCTGCAGCAGCACCATACGAGAACAGGGTCAGCAAGTCTCAGTGGGAGGAATAGTGCCCCATCATTGGTGGGGCACTGATACCAATGATGGGGCACTATTCCTCCCACTGACACTGATACCACGATGGGGCACTATTCCTCCCACTGACACCAACGATGGGGCACTATTCCTCCCCCCCCACTGACACCAACGATGGGGCACTATTCCCCCCCCTATTCCTGCCACTGACACCAACGATGGGGCACTATTCCTCCTCCCCCCCACTGACACCAATGATGGGGCACTATTCCCCCCTCACTGACACCAATACCAATGATGGGGCACCATTCCTCCCACAATGACACATTCCTCCCACTGATGATGGGGCACTATTCCTCCTGCACACTGGGGCACTATTCCTGCCACTGATACCAATGATGGGGCACTATTCCTGCCACTGATACCAATGATGGGGCACCTATTCCCCCCACTGATACCAATGATGGGGCACTATTCCTCCCACTGATGCCAATGATGGGGCACCATTCCTGCCACTGATACCAATGATGGGGCACCTATTCCCCCCACTGATACCAATGATGGGGCACTATTCCTCCCACTGATACCAATGATGGGGCACTATTCCTCCCACTGACATCAATGATGGGGCACTATTCCTCCCACTGGTGTGCATTGGAAGAGGGGTAGTCTTATACGGCGAGTATAGCCCAAACACTACATTTTAGCAGGAAAAGTAGGGGGGTCGTCTTATACGCCTTATACGGGCAAATACGGTAGGTCTTTCAGCCATAATAGTCTGTAATGTGCTGAACTATATGAGCTAATAATGTCCAATGCATAAAGCATTCTACCATGAGCTATATGAATAAAACTACTGTGGCGCCTCAATGTAGACTACATTTTTAAAAGCATGGCACATTAACAACAGAACTTGGCTGTATACTTCAGCTATGACTAGCTCACATCCGTTTGACCACAACAAGCTGGTTCCTTCTTTCATCGCTATGCCTTAATAAAAAAAAAAAAATCCAGCCTTTGGCTTCTGATCACAGAAGGCTGTCGATGTCTCTGTGGCCTCTGAATCATTGGCAGTCTTTGGCAAATTTCACATCATACAAACGTAGAACCGCATCACAAGTGTAAAGAATTCCTTTCTACATATCAGTGACAGATTAATCAGTTATTTGTGTTTTATGACTTTTAAAGAGATGTAAACTAACAGATATTTATGTTTGGGTTTTTCTGACGTTTTCTACGTTTCAACTGCCGTAAGAAGCAGAAACAGAGCAACTGCAGGCAATCTTTGGCAATGTTTGCATATCACCTCTTTAAAAGTAGAAAGAACTGGGCGACTGCCATTTTGTATGGCTTGTCTTTGAAGTGGATACCCTACTCAATTTGTAAGGGTATCACGTGACCTTTGCTGTAACAAAACTCCAACCTGTGGACAGGACGACCATGTGGTTGTGGTAATGATGGTCAGCTGTGACGTGCCACATGAGTTACTTCACTGAACTACAAAGTACAGATAGCATCATAGAAAGACTTCCAAACATTTGGTTTGAACATGGAAAGTTAGGTGATTTAAAAATGGAAAAAGTGTTTAAGGCATGTCTATAAATAAAACAGATGAGAAAAAAACTGATTTTTTTTTCCGCTTGCAAGTATTCTAATATAAATACATGATAGTAGAAAAAAGTTAAATCAATACAGCATAATAACCAAAATACATCATATTATATTCCGTGATTTTGTACACTTCTGTTTAAAATACTCATGCATTTTAATTCCAGTACTGCTAATATTCCAAATGAGCACATACTACATTTCCATGGCCGAGCAGCTGCATCCAAGCCTTATATCACCAAGTGCAATGCAAAGTGTCAGAAGCAGTGGTGTAAAGCACGCCGCCACTGGACTCTAGAGCAGTGGAAATGTGTTCTCTGGAGTGATGAACCACGCTTCTCTGTCTAAAGTTTGGTGGACGGAGAATTGTGGTGTGGGGTTGTGTTTTCAGGGGTTGGGTTGGCCCCTTAGTTCCAGCAAAGGGAACTATTAAGGCGTCAGCATACCAAGACATTTTGGACAATTTCATGCTCCCAACTTTGTGGGAACAGTTTGGATATGGCCCCTTGTTCCAACATAACTGCGCACCAGTGCACAAAGCAAGGTAGCAAGGTCCATGAAGACATGGATGAGTGAGTTTGGGGTGTAGAACCTTGGCTGGCCTGCACAGAGTCATGACCTCAACCCGATAGAACACCTTTGGGATGACAGAGTGCAGACTGCGAGCCAGGTCTTCTCGTCCAACATCAGTGCCTGACCTCACAAATGCGCTTCTAGAAGAATGGCCAAACATTCCAATAGACATACTCCTAAACCTTATGGACAGCCTTCACAGAAGAGTTGAAGCTGTTATTGCCAGAAATGGTGGACCAACTCAATATTGATCCCTACGGACTAAAACTGGGATGCCATTAAAGTTCATGTGCGTGTAAAGGCAAACGTCCCAATACTTTTGGCAATATAGTATATATAAATATATATATACTGTATATACACACACACACACACTATATATCCCCATTACAGTGTATATACCAATACACTGTTTTGCATAATAAAATAGGTCAAATGTCACAGTATCTTGAGAGATATACAGTAGATGAGCTGGACTGATACTGCAATATAGGTTACCTACCTAAAAAAATCCTGGGCTTCCGGCTTTTACCTTTATTTTTCAATAGGTTTTAATAAAGATTTTTCAAATATCAAATAGTGCAATAGACAAATGTCATGTCATAAAAGTAGGTTTCAAACAGCGCAAAAAAAAAAAAAAACGGAACGGTTAAACGAACAGAGGACATACAGTACATTACGCAACCAGAGAATCTGTAAATGAAAACCTGAGTAATTCAAACAGAGAGTTTCCATCATTAACCCCCTTGGCAGTATTCCCGAGTGTAGCTCGGGGTAAAGTTTCAGTACCAAAAGCGGTAACCCCCCCGAGCTACACTCGGGCTTACCATGCGGCGTTGCTCAGGGAGTCCCTGCAGCACTTACCTTGTCCTTCGCTCCAGCAATGCGTCCCCTGCAGCGTCCCCAGCCATCTCCTCCGGCCGATGCCAGCATCCGGCTTCTGTGTTCCGGTCCCTGTGACGTCGGGACGTACGGGCGCCGGAACCGGTGCAGCAAATTTGAAAATTTAAACAAATTACATTTTTTTCAAAACGATTATTGCATAGTAAAACATTGCTGTATCAAAGCATTTCACATACATTTTGTCCCGAGTGCTTTGTCCGGCGCCCTGCCTGCATTTTGACTGTTCTTTCTGCCTGGAAACTGAGAAACGTCCATGGCGTCCAAAAAGTGTCCCTTTATGTCAAAAGCGGTTTTAGACCGGCTAGAGAACAGCGATAGTAAATCAGAACCACTTGCAGAATTGAGTGATAATGATTCGTGGGGGAAATTCCTCATCAGACACTGAAAAAAATTCTGTGACTGAGCTCAGTGATGTGCGAACTTGGCGCTCTATTTCAAATTTCAGTGTTTTTGGTTTGAATATATTATTGAATTAAA